ATGTAGATCCGAGTGATGCCGGTGCGAGTAGCTAGTCTAAAATAAATGTCCAATTTGCTCATTTATTGCCTAATGGTATTCTCGATCGGCTAACCATTGGGTAAAAACAGAAAGCGGTTGAAGGGTAGTAGTGGGTAAAGGCTTACTATTGGTATTTACCTCACTTAGGTAAATGTGTTACACACTTCAACTTAAAAATGTAACAATAAAATTATTTAAAAGAGCAACACGTAAGTTTCTTGCTCATTCTTCTTGTTACGAAACAGCTTTCCGAATGAGCGGTAGATTGAAAAAAAATGTGATGACTATTCTAAAGTGCTTTAATGTAAGTTTATTTGAATAAATGATTTCTATTCTATTCTATTTATCTGAAGAAATACCATACAATGTTGAATGTCTGGTAGGCTTTCACGCTGAGAGTATCATTGCTATTGCTTTCTTATAGGCGTTAAGGGTATTTACAAAATAGCCAGTTGCCCACCCTTGTTTTGTTACTTTTGTATATGTTAATATATATTTAGCTTATGTCAATTTAGACCAGAGGTTCCCAAACTTTTTTGGACGTAGACCCCTTGCCATACTTTTTGGTTTTGGGTAGACACCCCATTCTCACCTGCTATTGATTTTTTTGTAAATTTCTAACTGTAGTTATGTTTAAAAACATAAAGTAAAAACAACAAGATGATAGCTATCGTAGACCCCTTACAGTTTACAGCCCCTGGGGGTCGATATAGACCACTTTGGGAATCACTGATCTAGACTATTGTAGCTTTCAAATATAATTTCTCAAATCGACACAGTAGTTCTAGACTTTTTTTTTTGTTATAAATATTCGGTGATTCTATTTATCTATATTTACATACATATAGATAAAAAAAATTAAGGTGGTTTTTAAAGAGAACCGCGTGGAGGTCAACCTCACATTGCACATTAGATACCATTACTGACCATAAACTGAGGAACAAGGTTTTCTTTGGTGTCGACCAAATTTAAACTCAGACATTCAAACAAACATTTTCTACCTCATATTACACGATCAATGTTCTGAAAAATTGTTCGGATTAATACCAGCTGCAGATTTTCACCACCGTACCACCCGCCAGAAACTAAAATACCATCCTGATCATGGCTGTTCTTCACAGTGCGGTTTTTATAGAAACTTTTTGACACGCACAACCACGTTCATCATGGAGAATCAAATTCCAGCAATGGTATTTCCGATACGATATTGAAACCTTCAAGAAAAGAGCTTATTCCTTCTTAAAAGGCCGGCAACGGACTTGCAATTCCCCTGCTGTTGCGGGTACTCATGAGCGGCAGTAATCACTTACCATCAGGTGAGTCGCAAGTGAGTTTGTCTACTGTGCTACGTACTAGCCATTCCCCAAGTATTGCGGGTGCTCATGTGCGATGGTAATCACATACCATCAGGTGAGACGCAAGTGTGCTGTAAAAAAAATCTATAAGTCTGGACTTACGTAATCAAGTACGCAAGTATATAATTTTGAAATCCTTTATTCATCGCATAACAAATAATAGAATATAAACTATTGCATATTGTCTTTGTTATTATAACCATAAGTGCAACTTTATCAAAAAGACCTTGCAGTAAATATCTAGTTGCATACGCATAATACTGTATTGTGCTCGCCAATTTGAATACATTAGCGTAATTGATACGCAAATGAGTTTGTTACGAAACGTTGTTGTCTTTGCGTAGATTACGCGCATTTGCCTACTGTTTTCATAACAATCATTATTGTTATATTTATTTAACTTCAAACGTCCATATATAATGCACTTATGGCGGACTTAACACCTTGCTACAGGCGGGAAGAAGATTGCTAGTAAAGTGGACACATAACCTCATTACTAGCAATGTACCATGTCAGGTTGACCTCCACGCGGTTCCCCCTGGAAACCATCGTGATAAATTTCCGGTGAATTTCTCACGACTGGCTAAATGACCTGACCTCCTGCTCATCTTATCATCCTCCACTGGTGCCCCGCCAGCGTAAACCGTTAGCGCAGGCGGGTGCACCATTCCATTATTATCCACGAAAAAAACAAGACCTTGAGTCATTGTGTACTAGGCAACCATGAGTGATACAGAGAAAGATTGTATATTCTTTTTTTATAAATCTTAATAAATTCTCTCTAACTGAGAGATTCTCAATGGAACTACACTGAATATTAGAACAAAAAATATAAGTACAAAAAAAGTAGACTTTAATATGTTACTAAAATAATAATAATATAATAGTCCTGGACAATTCACACAGCGACATCTAGTCTCAAGCTAAGCAGACCTATATTGTATGTATTTACAATAGAATATAATATATTTTATTGTAAATACATACATAATACACATAGAAAACACCCAGACCAATACAAACAATTATACTTATGAATAAGTATGAAACAAATGTTTGTATCGTGCGGGGAATCGAACCAGCGATCATCATCAAAAATATAGGCGATGGGTACAATCAGTTAGGTTACCAGATAGACCATTATTAGTTGAGCTATTCTCGCTACGTAATAAAAACATTAGTTTTGAGAATATTTTATGTATGAAAGGTAAACGTTTATAATAAATTCTGTAATGTCGGTACAATAGCATTACTAGCATCTTATATATTTATTCAAATAAACTTAATGTAAGCATTTTCAAATAGTTACAATTTTTTATTGTACCACTCATTCAGAACGAATTCTGTAATATCTATAACATGGCAATATAGCTATAATAGCAAATAAAATATAAGCATTTTCGAATAGTTATATTTCTTTATTCTGCCACTCATTCAGAACGCAACCTCATCACAAGAAGAATGAGCAAGAAATTCTTGTTTTGCCAAATCCAAAGATGACATCAAAGAGAGAAGACCGCAATGTTACCTACATTGCGTTCTTCTCTCTTTGATGTCATCTTCGGTTTAAATAGAGCAAATGTAAAGTAAGAATAGCAAATAGAATCGAAATAAGAATAGAAGATAAGGAAATGTAAAGAGTAAAAAGGCAAGGCGAAAATGTATACTGTGTACATAATACTGTACCTAGAGTAAGACAAAATAATTTACTGTTAATTTGAATGTATCCTGTAATGTACGTGTAAATAAAAAAGTAGGATCCCTGGAAATTGACATCCGGGCATCAGTATTATATAATAATAATAAAAATGTAGGTACTTTAGCAATAAAGAATGAGCAAGAAACTTGAGTGTCAGCTCTACTTGTTTTGCCAATGCCGAAGACCCTCTAAGTACCTTAGCAAGTACCAGTGATAAATCTAATTCGATGCTATCATCACACCATCGAAATTAAATCTCAGTGCAGCGAATAAGATTTAAAAGATAACAGCTCGCTTTTAAAAAGCTTTAAAACCATTTCAAAAGGTAATTACCAACCGCTTTATTCCTACTCAGGGACCGTAACGCGGCACTGATGTGCAAATATCAAACAAAATGATTACAATACACCTCTTTGGACATTTGAATTAAGAGCTATTCCTTATTATAAACTTTTGTTTAAATTGCATAGCGATTTATATCTTAATTCCCATGCAATAAAGTATTAAAATATAATACAGTTTTATTTACATAAATAAGTGGGTCAAGGTTAATTTTGGTAATTACATCGGCTTACGCCAGTGTCTTTGTAGTTGGATTATAAATATTTTATAAGTAATAAGGGTGGTACTCTCTGTATTTTTTTTTAATCTTTGGGCATTTATTTATTAATTGTTTTATTTTTCGCCATTAAAATATATACAACCCTAAATGTGCAACTTTTAACTATCAATCCTGATCTTCTAATAACGATAGTATATTTCTTATGCTATACGTACGTATAGTTGTTATGCTATATAAATATACCATAACAACGTGTGCTGAGTCAGCTGTAGTTTTTGTTCAAAACATATATAAATTTGTACATATTGGTATCAATATTCAATACCAATACTATATTCCAATGTTAACTGTACAGTATAAGCAAGATTCTTTTAAGCAGCAACTTTCCACGAACCTTGTCCGTCTCCATTTATAATTTACGAAGGGGGACAGGCAAAAGTAAGTAAATGAGTAATTTTCAAGGAAACGAGAATGTATTTTTGTACTGGGTACAATAATTTAAGGATTTACATGCCAATTTACGAGTTGATTAATATAAACGCTGTTGATGTAGGCGTTGGACAAAGCAGAGAAAGTGGATTGAGTCATGACATTGGTCATTATAATATCATTACCATCAATTACTTTAAAGTATCGATAGGGTATTAATTAAGAAGTCAATATGTATTACATCAACTACTAGCCACCTGTATTCGTCTTTTGTGCTATTTGGAGGAAATTGGGTGATGATCATTATGAGCTCTATTCTCCCCAATTTAAAATTGAATCTATTTTTGTAAATATGAACAAGCTCATTTGAATACGAGCTGAGTTTCTTGTTAGTTCTTTTTAGCTCGATAGCACTCCGAATCATAAGAGTCTGTAATAGACCTACATGAACAAAGATAAAAGAGATGGCGTATCGTCCCTCAAAGATATGAAGTACGATTAACAATGTTTTATTACTTTCTTTACGAAATTGATCATTGATGGCAAACAAGCTGACAGCCCAATTAATGGTAAGTGCTAACCATCGCCTATATACATATACATTATTACAGACATCACGTTATCATGATGTGACATCACTCATTCGTTGCCATTTTGGACGACTAGGATGTCATAGCATAGCATAGCATATCTCTGCCTATTTCACCCTTAATCTAAATACAGCTTTTGTTTCCGTCATTTGTTTGTCCAGGTCCAAAAGATCGGAGCATTATAATAATTAGCTCCTTACTAGTATATATATATTCATGTAATATGTAATAAAATCTAAACTTAGTTTCATCATCTAAACTAAGGATATTTTGACAAAAATTAAAAACGATATACTTGAGAGCTTTCAAGAAATTCGCCATGAAAGACATTACGATATTCAACATTATACAAATATCATTAGGGCTTATATCGAAAGAACTGTAGAGCAGCCATTTTGTCTTCAATTTGAATTGTAACAAAATAATGTTTTAAATTTCATCTTGAATGTATATTAGCTTAATAGGCGTAATTAATTCAACAGGTTCAGTCCTTGTTATATCCAATTCGAATGCAATGGATTCGAAATAAACTACAATTAAGGGTTTCTTGCATATTTAAAAATAAAATTCTTCAAAACAGATTTCATTTGTACTAATAATTAGAATAATAAAAAATACCACACGTAACGTCTTTGCGAATTTTTAAAACTGATAATTACCGTTCATTGCGTATAATTGCATGGAATAGCCTCTACAATGTCCACCGCACTGACGTCCAGATATATTTATGAGTCATATATACGAGTCTATTAAAGAATTAAACGTTTAATTGTAGTTTATAATGCTTTTAACTTCAATAAAAGATGCTCGTCCGTAGTTAACCCTTATAATTTCTTAATTGAATATTAAAAAGCGAATAAGGTGGTTTATGGATTTCACGTTTCATGCAATTTGATTAGGAGCTAATTAATTAGATTACAAAGAATATTCTATTGAATTAATTATCAGTACTTTTTATTTAGTAATAATCTTTAGAACAAGGTTTTCTGCAAGGTTTGTAACTACCCTCATTGCAGAGGTAACTGCGAACTTTTTTTGCCAAAGGACAATCCAGTCTACCGCATGGTCCATGAACATCTCTTTTATTAACAAATTGTCCATGTTGATACTTGCCTTTAATAGTTTCACCGTGAATAAACTGATGCTGACTACCTCTAAAATCCATTCGTTTTGGGCAATTTGTCCCTCCACAAGGTCCTTTTGGAAAGCCCATTGCGAGTATGGTTAGCTCACTTCTAGTAAATGGCGCTTCATACTCTTCATACATAACAGGTTCTTCTTCAGGTCTTATAGGTTCTCTAATTATATCTGGAGCGCCGAAAAAGTAAGCCACAGGTGGTACAGCCTCTATTGTAGTACCATCCCAATGTCTTACCACTTCAACATCTTTTAATTTCAAATCATCTGTCAAATATTTTCTACCAGGCAAACGTTCCATTTCAGGTAAAGCAACAAAATAGCTAATAACTCTATTGCCCAAACATGACAGTCTAATGTAAAATTCTATTTCTCCAGATGCTTTCAAATCTTCCTCGCACTGTAATGGTCGAGTTAATTCTACTGTGTTTGTAACCATTTCAGGTTTCTTTGTTTCTCTATATTCTGCTTGATCCATATTAACAGGATTCAAATCACCAGCTTTCTGAAGACAATCAAAGAACGACTCGTGCCACTCAACAACACAAAAACCTATACAGTTCATTTCTGAGTCCCTATTCCAAACTGTGATATAAATTGGTGTTTTTCTTAATACCTCCTCTAATTTCGAAGGTCTCGAAAGAAACATTACGGAATTACCAACTCCGAAATATGGAGGCTGTGGCAAAGGTTCTGAGGGAAGTACAATTTTTATTGGTTGGGCTTTTCCTTTCTTACCCTTTTTCGGTTTTGGAGGTTTACCTTTACCTTTTTTAGGAGGAGGTGGCGGTGGAGGTGGTGGTATGAAATTGTCATGAGCAACATAAAAATCAAACAGTGGTAAACAATTCATTTGCATTGTACAAGTTTGCATAAATTTCATTTCTTCTTCCGATGGCATTGGTGGTTCCTTGCCTTTTTTCCCTTTCTTGGGTTTCTTTGGTTTAGGTGGTTTTCCCTTCTTGCCTTTTTTTGCCGCTTCTGCTGCAGCTAACGCCTCAGCTTCTCTTTTTCTTTCTTCTGCTTCCATCCGAAGTTCATACTCATCTTTCTGAGGCGGTTCGATTTTCAAAATTATCTTTTTGACAAAAACTTCAATCATGAATATTTGCTCCATTATATAGGCTCTAGAAAAATAACATCAAAATACAAATATAGTGACTAATAGACACGATAATAATTTACGCAGTTATTATAATAATTTCAATGAGATGTCACGGAATTAAGAACCCTTTCGTATTGGAAATAGATTGAAAATATGTTGCAAAATTTGGACTGAAACAACAAAAACAATACAATTATATACTGACTATGTAACGTATGTAACTAGTTTTTGCCCGTGACTTCGTCTATATGACCGGGACCTTTAGTTTGGTCGGGATAAAACACCTCATACAAAACTATGAAACCGTTAAAAAGGAAACAAATAAACAATGTGTTTATTATAATTGTATAATATTAGCAAATATTTATATCGTCTGTATTAAGTATGATAATAATAATTATGTACAGTTGTAAAGCTATAATTTATATGAAGTTGACTGTACCTAATTTTTGTTGATTACTATTAATCTGAGATCAACAACCTACTCACCTCAAAATTACCTGTCATTATTGGAAAGTATTGATAATTAATTCCCAAAAAGCTACCATGAATGAAGTCATGTTGTTTGTATGTGGTAAGTACAACACTCTTAATTTGCATTCATTATGAATAAATACAAATATTTCTTTTTGTTTTGTATTATATAATAATTTGACGTTTTTAAACCATACTGAGTTATTCGGTGACATTTTGTATTAATTTTTTTAATGACAATTTTTCGTTACAGGTTGGTTTATAAAAAGTTTCTATGTTTATAGATTTTACGTTCTCTTTATAATAATACTAGTACTACCCGTGACTTCATCCGTATGTAATTTAACCCACTTTTTATTAAAATAAATTCTTCTTCTTCTTTGTCGGTTCCTCAAGACTGAGGGTCGTGACCACCAGGAATGCTCCTTCCAACCAATACTCTCCAGGCATTTCTATCCTGTGCTAAATGGACCGCCGACTGTATATTTAAAATAAATAGAAGTAGCCAAATCGGTCGAGTTTCAGATATTAGCAAGAACAAAAAGACAGACAGACGATACTTATTATAATTAATTTTTGACACAAACAGACTACTACGTACACTTTCTTTTTATGTAATTGCAATGACAAACAAAATGATAGTTCACCTTTTTTATAGCACAGGGGACAAACGAGCATGCGGCTCACCTGATGGTAAGCAGTAACAATCGGCTGTACACATGAACAGCACTGCTGACATCACGTTATCATTTCACCCGTGATACCATTCACACGTTACCATTAAAGATAGATAATAGAGAGAGAGAATAAGATATCGTGTCTCTAGAGTTGAGGTGGTCTAGTGGTTTCGCACACCGCTTTACTTCCGATGGTCGCGGGTTCGATTCCTCGCACGGCACAGACATTTGTATTCATGAGTATGATTATTTGTATTGGGCTGGTGTTTTGTATTTATATTATGCATCTATTTACTAGTACCCATAACACAACCTCTATTTGGGACTAGATGGCGCTGTGTGAATTGTCCAGGGGTATTATTATTAATAACTTATCGTGTAACTTAACTATATAGTCGCATACTACAACCGAAATCGATCTTAAAAAGAAAGCGGCTTCGCTAAAATAGGTGAGACTAAGGTGCCCACGCAGACGACTTTTTATAGTCTACCTCAAACATTCACTTTATAATCAGTTAGATATATAAATTAATATAAGTACCAGATTCGAACTTACAGTCTCTTCAGTAAGTCAGACTAGTAACCACTACGTCACAATACTCTCAATAACATATTTTTTTCTAAATAACATTATCCAGTTATAACTTTATAATGAGTTATAATTATTGCACAATAATAACCGCAGTTGCATTTTATGACTATCACACATACAAAATGTCAGCAACCTCAACAATATCGTGAAAATAAGGTTTTAGTATTTTAAAAATAAACACCGAAAACCAGTTGTAATAATACTTTAAAGCGTCACCTCTACAGATCAAAAGAAAAAAAAAAAGACTCGAGAGTTCATCTGCGGGGTCACGTTTACGCACGCGGGTAGCGTAGAGGGGCGCGGGGGGAGGTGGGGTGCGCCCGCGCAAGACAAGTCTGTTTGGTACCAGATATACTGATCTATGGAAGCGACATTTCTACCCATCTTCTAAAAGAAGGATATTCTCAATTTAACTGTACTTTTTGTTTGTCAGTCTACCCAACTTCTAAGAGAAGGAAATTTTCAATTTAACTGTACTTTTTGTTTGTTAGTCTACCCAACTTCTAAAAGAAGGAAATTCTCAATTTGACTATATATTCTGTCGGTCAGTTCTACCCAACTTACAAAAGACGGAAATTCTCAATTTAAATGTATTTTTTATCTATTAGTTCTACCCAGCTTCAAAAAAAAGAAAATGTATTTCTTGTCTGTCAGTTTTACTACACTTATAAAAGAAAGAAAATCTCAATTGTATTTTTTTGTCTATCAGTTCTACCTAACTTTCAAAAGAAGGAAATATCAATTTGGCTGTTATTTTTATTTGATTGTATTTTTATCTGTCAGAGTTCTGAGATCCAAGCAGACAAATTTATACCTAAACTAAATGATCCAACAAACGTTGCTTTGCCATATAAATGGAAGTACAGAGGTTAGTGGGAGAAAGGTGAAAATTTTAAAATGTCTGTATTTTTAATGATACATCATAAAAAAATCCCAAAAACACTTAGGGGTATAAAACGATGAGTTCGTCAGTCAGAGATTTTTTTATATTTTTATAGTGGCAAACAAGCATACGGCCCATCTGATGGTAAACGGTTACCGTAGCCTATGGACGCCTGTAACACCGTGGGCATCATGTACGACGAGAAACCTTAATGTACCGTTCTTGAAAAATTCCATGCTGTAATCTCGCAAGGAAACCATGGCATGTAGTTCATTACACAATCTAAGTGTATGATTTAATCTTATTATGTATTTAATATTTTGACTCTAATAAATTAATGCTGATTGGTAGTTAGTATTCACACCTTTCGACTTAAAAATGTAAAGTTACAACAATTACTTAAAAGAGCAACATGTTTGTATCGTGCTCGTTCCTCTTTTTTTTTATAATACAGAGGACAAACGAGCATGCGGCTCACCTGATGGTAAGTGATTACCGCCGCCCATGAGCACCCGCAACACCAGGGGAATTGCAAGTACGTTGTCGGCCTTTTAAAAAGGAATAAGCTCTTTTCTTGAAGGTTTCAATATCGTATTGGTTCGGAAATATCATTGCTGGAAGGAGATTCCACAATGTGGTTGTGCGGGGCAAAAAGTTTTCTAGAAAACCGCACTGTGAAACCGCCGTTCATCCAGATGATCAGGATGGTATTTCAGTTTCTGACGGGTGGTACGGTGGTGAAACTCAGCAGCTGGTACTTATACGAACAATTCCTCAGAACACTCCCCGTGATATATGCGGTAGAAAATGCAAAGAGATGCAATATCTCGCCGCAAAGCCAATGGGTCGAGTCTGTCACATAGACGTTGATTACCAATTCTTGTGATGAGACAACTTTCCGAATGAGTGGTAGATAAAAAAACACTGTGACTATTTAAAAGTAGTTAAATTAAGTAAGTAGTTATACTTCCAGCATAATACCAGCGTCGTTACACTCCGTCACGACATATTGTGAGCGGAGACCTATTTGGTACCAAAATAATCCAGATTGTAATTAAAAATTATTGTTATTGTTGTTATCAAATAAACGTGTTTTCTTTCTTTTCATTTCTTTTTATTCTAAGTTTATTTGAATCAATGATTTTCTATTCTGTTCCACTATTCCATTTTATAGGATATTAAAAATAAATATATTTTTTTGGTATATCTAGTAAATATTATATCTGTGGGCTTGTGCACGAGCATTAGTTCCGTCTCGCTCGCACCAATATCTAAATTTAGATTCGCGTTTATATAGCGTACGTCTCGCAGTATATTGGCACTACATGTTATATGCATTATTCAACAGCAAAAACTAGGTTTTAAATTAAAACCATTCAGTACCTACCTCGATTAGTAGGTACCTACCAACAACGTAGTAGAATATATTATGTACTAGCTGTGCCCGCGATTTTGCCCGCATGAAATTTATAGCCTACTAGCTCCTCGCCCCGGCTTCGCACGGACGTACATGTATTATATATATAAATATTCCTCTTGAATTATTTAAAAAAAAAAGCATCAAAATCCGTTGCGTAGTTTTAAAGATTTAAGCATACATAGGCACGGACAGCGACAGCGACTTTGTTTTATACTATGTACTGATATGTATTCTGATGTATAAGCTATATTACTGTAAAATTTCATCAAAGTCCGTTCAGTAGTTTTTGCAATAATGTGATAGAGTAACAAACATCCACCTTTTTGATAGTTTTTATGTTTTTTATATATATGGATGTTCTGTTATATACTATTTGTTTTTCTTATGCCATATTGTCTTTATATTTTTGCTAGCGAGCTGATGCAATAATGTAGCCAAATTTCATGTTGCGGAAACCTTTTTGATAGTTTTTATGTTTTTTATATATATTTGAATTTTATTTGACGTTCTGTTTTTATATACTATTTGTTTTTCTTATGCCATATTGTCTTTATATTTTTGCTAGCGAGCTGATGCCAGCTTAAAATAGTCCATTAGTTGCCCATCCTGTTGCGGATGGCAACCTTTTTGATAGTTTTTATGTTTTTTATATATATTTGAATTTTATTTGACGTTCTGTTTTTATATACTATTTGTTTTTCTTATGCCATATTGTCTTTATATTTTTGCTAGCGAGCTGATGCCAGCTATTTTACCTCACCTAAGAACGTGTCTCATTTTTTACCAGCCTTAATACAGTCCATCCTTCCTTTCGTAACATTGTGGTGCGGTTGCCCATCAGCTAAATTGGGGAGGATGTTGCGGATGGCAACCTTTTTGATAGTTTTTATGTTTTTTATATATATTTGAATTTTATTTGACGTTCTGTTTTTATATACTATTTGTTTTCTTATGCCATATTGTCTTTATATTTTTGCTAGCGAGCTGATGACAGCTATTTTACCTCACCTAAGAACGTGTCTCATTTTTTACCAGCCCTAATACAGTCCATCCTTCCTTCCGTAACAAGGCCCATACCTGTCCAATCCAGTGACTTGAAAACGTCTTCCAGCGCGTTAGAGAAGAGTTTGGGCAAAATCACGTCACCTTGTCTCACGCCTCTCTTTAGTTCGACCTTGGCTTCATAGTCATTTATTCGTAGTCATGGTTGCTGATTTGTACAGATTTTTCAGCAACGTGACATATCTGTAGTCTATTTGACAACGCTGGAGGGAATCGAACATAGCCCAATGGTCCACAGAGTCAAAAGCCTTCTCATAATCCACAAAACCAAGGTGTAGTGATCGGTTATTATATTATAATAACACTACGTCAGGACAATTCATACAGTTCCATTTAGTGCAAACTATTATTAATTAATTTACACGTAAACTATCTCGTTTGTAATATTAATAAGATTTATTTATTAACTACATTAACAGAATATACTCATAACTAATGAAAGTATGGATATTATGTTATCTGTGGTATGGGTAACACCACTAATATTTACTTCAGTATTTTTTTTAAACAACATGAGAATAACAATACTATTATATATTTTAAAACAAATAAATAAATAACCCTATAC